GCATGCCTGTAGTCCCAGCTACTTGGGAGGCTGAGGCAGTAGGATTGCTTGAGCCCAGGAGTCTGAGGTTGCTGTGAGCTAGGCTGACGCCACGGCACTCACTCTAGTCAGGGCAACAAAGTGAGACTCTGTCTCAAAAATAAATAAATAAATAAATAAATGTTAGCCAGTATTATTATGTCTAAAATTTAACTAATTCCCTCTCCAACATACAGTGTTGACCATGGTTTCTAGCATCATGATCCATTCAGTCTTCTAAGCTAGAAACTTTACTCTGTCCTTGTGTGTGTCCCTAGCACTTTGTCCATGTCTTTATTACAGCATGTGCCACAAGATATGATAATGTATCTGTATACATCTGTCCCTAATAGACTGTGTTTGTCTTAACTAGACTGGAGTTTTGAGTGGAAGGCAAGGGAGAAAGGAGAAAAGCTTTCCAGACAGGAGAAAATAGCATGAAGACTCAGAGATAGAGAGAAAAAGCACAAAGAACCCCAGTTTGATTGGAGTATAAAAGGTGACAGAGTGTGGGGCATGAAGTGAGGCTAGACTGAATAAAAATATATCATAAAAGGATTATTGGTAGCCTAAGTTTGAAAGAGTTCTCTGGTGCATCCATTAGATCAGTGCTGTGGGATTGACAGTACATCTCTCCTCTCACGGAAGACAGAGACTAAACCTAAGAAAAACAAAGGCAAGGCCAGAGAGAAGCAAGAATAAGCCATTCCAGAGGAAAAATAGCTAAGGCAAGTGGGGCTACCCGACCCGAAGAAGAGATTGGTCAATGGATATGAGACCAGTATTTAAATGGACAAAAGACAATCAGGTATAATTAGTCATTTAGATATCTGATTATAAGCTCCCACTAGATTGTAAACGCCTTCAGGACAGGAAGGGACTGAATAATCTTTGTGTTCCCAGGATGTTGTACAGTAGTTGGCATATAGTAGGTCTGCTCAGGAAATGCCTTCTGCACATGTGCAAATACCAACTGCCTGACCGCAGAGGCCAGCAAACCTTGGCTGAGTAGAAGTTCTGCTTCTATTTCACAAGCCTTAAAACCCCAAAGCACTTAATATCTTTAACAGCATCACTCACCAGCAGAGGCAGCTTTGCTCATCAACTGGGCAAATGTGATGGCACCTCCTCTTCTGAAAACTAGTTTGAAAGTAGCCTGTCCTTCCCAGCCACCTGAGGGGAGAAATGGCACACACTCACTAAGAGACTGGTACAGCTGGCAACAGAAGGACTGCCTGAAGAAGCAACTGCTTGGAAGTCCCAGCTACTTGGGAGGCTGAAGGGGGAGGACAGCTTGAGCCTAAGAGTTGGAGGATACAGTGAGCTACGATTATGCCACTGCACTCCAGCTTGGGTGACAGAGCAAGACTCTGTCTCTTAAAAAAAAAAAAAGTGAATAAATGAATGAAGGACTGCCCGAAGAAGCAACGTAGCTTTCATTTGAATTCCTACATGAGCCAAGTGTGAATCCTTAACCTTCTAGAAGATTTTGAGGAAAAAAAAAAAAAAAACACACTTCTGAAAGGGAACACTTACCATATGGAGCTGCCTGAATAGTTCCTTTAATGTAGTTTGCAGCAAAGACTGGTTGTTCAACGGTGCAGTTCTTCATCAGGTCAAATGGCATCATAAAAGACAACATGGGATCATCGACTGAGCGTGAAGTCAAGAAAATCACCTAAGAAAGGAAAGAAACTTCGGAAAAGGAATGCATAATTTGAGACCTATAACAGCAAGGTCAAGGCTGCTTTGGCATCCTGGCCTAATTGAGAAACATCACTCATTTTCTTCCACTGCTCCTCAACATGGAAAATTCCAAAGTGCACATGTTTTAAAACACTTTGAAAGTCAATGTTTAACTTCTCTCCATTTTAAGGAAAACAAACGCAGAGTTAATCAGTAGATGAAAGTAAAAGTAGCAATTACCCGGTATGAAGTGAGAACCAACATTCCCGTCTTTGTACCACTAAAGAGGTTGGAGCCCTCTGGTTGCTGTGGGAAGGAGAGCTCCACATCTGGAGACTGCATCAAGAGACTGTGGCAAAGGACAGGAAGACAGAGCACAATTTAGAAGTTATATAAAATGATATACATAAAGCTTTTAGCACAGTTCTTATCTCAGGGTAAGCACTCAATAAATGTTAGCTGCTGCTATTGCTACTATAATACTATTTTATTGAAATAAAAAGGAATTCAAGCCAGGTGTTGTGGCTCACATTTGCAATCCTAGTGCTTTGGGAGGCTGAGGCAGGAGGATCCCTTGAGGCCAGGAGTTTGAGATCAGCCTGGGCAACATAGCTAGACCCCATCTCTAGAGAAAAAAAACTAGCCAGGCATGGTGGCACAAGCCTGTAGTCTCAGCTACTTGGGAGGCTGAAGTGGGAGGACAGTTTGAGCCCAAGAGTTAGAGGATACAGTGAGCTATGATCCTGCCACTGCACTCCAGCTTGGGTGACAGAGTGAGACTCTTGTCTCTTAAAAAATAAATAAATGAATGAATGAAAACATGAATACAGATCATAATGCAAGCAATATATGACAGACATAATGTAAATGGTACAAAAATGTCGTAGCAATTTAGTGGAAGGAGAGATTAGCTTTGGTTGAAGTAATTAGGAATGACTTCATAGAAAGACTGCACTCTGAGCTGATTCTTTTTTTTTTTTTTTTTTTTTTTTTGATTTTTTTTTTTTTTTTAACATTATCTCCTTAACCTAAGTAAACTAAACACCTGGCACACAATAGGTATTCAACGTATATGAGTTAAAAACATAAATCAAAGAGCCTTAACATACTAGCTCTGCAGAGGGTAAGGGAATCTTTCCTGGTCAAAGGATCATAAAGCATGATTAGTGGTTAACTCCAGGGGCCTCAAGGGAGTCTATCTCACAGCCCTGGCTTTTTGTGGGAGGGAGGACTAGGTTCCTACCTCTAAGCCATGATATAATCAGAAGACCAATAGCAGTTCCAGACATTGGGCCAAGTTTATATAAGTCGCCTAAGTCCTTTTCAAGTGGCTGTACAACCACCGAGATCTTGAACCTAGCACTGCAGGCCAAGAAGCAGATCTTAATGAGAGCACAAAGAGGAATCCCTAAAGTTGTCTGACACTTAGCCCTAAGAAAGAAACCCTCTTCAGTACTGTGAAGCCAAAAATAAGAGTGAATTCAAGACCCAGTATGCAACCATCCTGAGTTCCCTAGCCATCTGCAGCAAAGAAGGACTGGACTTCCAAGTGTCCCTAGACCCTGGATTTCCCACAACTGTCCTCCTCTATCTTCCAGGATACTTTGTTATCCAATTTCAGGCTTCCAGATGCTATCTGCCCTCTGCACTACCAAAGAGCTGTGGGTTTGGTACAGCTTCTGAACTTCTTGGCCTATCTTTATCATTAAAGCTAACTGTAAAAAAATTTTCTTACTCCTCAACCTCCTGTAATATGGTTCTCCCACTACCCTTCTTTGCCAGCATTTTGCTGAAATCTCTCTTGCTACAATCAACAAACTCTAATTACCACATGCAATGCTCACTTTTCAGTCTTCATTTTACCAAACATCTCTAAAGCAGCTGATACAGATGATCACCCCATTATCTCTTGAAACTTTCTCCTCCCTTGACTTTTGGGATAGTCACTTCCTGACTGTCCTCATTCACCTCCTCAGTCAGCCCCTTCTCAATCGTTGCAGACCACTCATTCTCGTCCCTTCTGTTATATGTTAAGGACCCTTGCAACTCTATCTTTAATTCACTGAGGAAGCCCATCACTCACATGGCCCCAGAGACAACCTGTGTGCTAAGGATTTACAAATCAGTCTCTAGATACAGCTCATCTTTGTAGTTCCAAGATCCATGTCTAGTAGCCTCTAGCATCCCCATGCTTCTCACCCTTATATTGGTATGGGGGTTAAGAGTGTAGGTTCAGGCTGGGAGCAGTGGCTCACTCCTGTAATCCTAACACTCTGGGAGGCCGAGGCGGGCGGATTGTTTGAGCTCAGGAGTTCGAGACCAGCCTGAGCAAGAGCGAGACCCTGTCTCT